CGGGCCAGTGCCGCGGGAGGCAGATAAAGAAAACAAGAGAGGCACCCTTTGGCGCCTAAGCCTAAATCTCCGAGACATGTGTATAACGTCTTCACCTGTAGGAAACACGAGGGGGCGTCACGAGTGGGCAATGCGTCGCAGCAACTCCATCGCCCTACGACTGCCTGCCCTGGCGAGCTCTCTCAGTCCTGTCATCTCGATCCCTCCATCGCCAGTTGCCGCGCCCGCAGTGCTGCCTGTACTTTCCTCTCGAGTCCTGATGGCGACGGTGCTCCGAACATCTGCTCTGCCCCTGCCGCTCGCAGTGTGTCCACGACGGCTTTCCTGAGGTCCCCGATCTGCGTGGTGCGGCTGATCTTAACGTGCGGCTCCTGGTTTCCTTCTCGAATGGCGTTGATCTGGTCCTCCCAGGATGCTGTCCACGGGCTGCAGGCGAGGCTGTTGAGCATGAGGTAGAGCTTCCATCTCTCTGACTGTCCCGCCTCGCTGTAGGCCTTCTTGACTTTGAAGTAGGAGACGATGTCCCCGAAGCCCTGCATGCCCCGCACGTCGATCAGCAGGCGGAACTCCGTCAGGATCGTTTTGTTGGTCCCCTCGGCCTTGTCGTTGAGCCCCATCTCCAAAACGAAGTCTACGCCGATGTGGAGGTGCGGAGGCCCCAGGTCCTTGTTGTTCTTCTCCTTGGCCTTCTCCGCGTAGGCTGTGCCCGCTGCCACCGTGGCGGCCACTGCTGAGTGTTCTCCTGGGATCCGGGAGAAGTCCCAGAGGCTGCCTGACAGCTGTCTGCTCATCTGCGCGTTGTTGAGCGTCAGCTTCTGCATCAGCACGATCTCTTCGTCGTTGTGGTCGCCTGGGCCACTCTCTTTGCCAGTGGCCTTCTTCTGCCCTCCACGTGGCTGCTTCTGGCGCGGTGCCAGGGTCGCCGCGGCTGCCTCCGCCGTCTGGCTGCGCGGCCTGCTTCCTCCTGCGGTGGCTCTCCACGACATCGCAAGGGCCAGGGCAATGAGCAGTGACGTGGCCGAGATGATCCTCGATGTTCGTATCCTCGCGGCCGCAGTAGCCGCACGTATACGCATCCCGCTGTTCGGGTTTGAATACAATTGAAGTGGCTCGAGTAGGGCAACGCAGCGGGTGCGATCTCGACATGATGATGACGTGGCGCAGGCATGATGCTCTGCTCGCAAATGCTGTACGACACCATGAACACACGCTCGTGCTGACGATCATGGAGTGCAGGTTGCGCATGTGGTGCGCGTGCGTGATGTGCGCCGTGAGTGCCTTGACCGTCGTGAATGTCATTCCGCAGCATCTGCCCTCGCCCTCCTCCCCCATCTCGTGCGTGCATACGTACTCGTCTGTAATGCTGCTGTCGTCGTCCGCTTCTCCGTCATCGCTCTGAGGTCGGGCTGCTCGTCGGGCGCCTTCGGGGCTGAGGAGGTCTCGTTGGGTACCTATCTTGATTTCGTTGAATTCATTGCTGGCCTCTGGGTCTTCAAAGATCTGGAGGAGGTTACTTCTGTTCGTCCATATGCTCGCAAACCTCGGATCTGCTTTAGCAAGGCCCTCCAGGTCGTCTCTGAACTGGTGGGCCCAATGGGTACTGTGTGCTGTGAGCCCCCCGCCGCTCGTAAGTCTCGGGAGCTCGAGGAGTCGATCGATTTCCAACGTCCCAAACATGGCTGCGAGGACCTGTTTGTGATTCTGTGGGGCCTTATATATCTGCTGCCACCATCTCAAACGCTGCACTCGAAGCTCGGTCGCGGTTCGGCTAATGTTCCAGTGGCGGAATAACGCACTGTTTGTGATAGTCCTGACACGGCCCTCGTACTCGTGTTTTGCTTTGCCATGGATCAGGTAGTGGAGCATGCGGACCAACACGGAGTCGAACTTATCCGTGAACTCCGTTGGCAGTACAAAGGCTGTGAGGCCCGCGATCGCGGCGCTATACACAAAGCACAAGCAGAGCGTGCGAAACAACTTGTGGTGCAGGGTCTGCCTCCAGACCTCTCCTAGTGATCTCCACGCAGCACGGGCTCCTTTGATGCGGTTCTTGAGTTCCGTCCTGAGTGCCCCGTCGAAGCTAAGGATCGGCCCGAGAACACGTGCTTCCCGACAGATTGCCCCGAGGACGCGATTTTGACGAACTAGGTCCCTGGATGCTTCAAAGGATCCCGATCCGTGCATGTAGATGAGGTGGTTGGTCTTATCTGCGTTCAAGTGGTGGCCGTTCTTCTGTATGTGTGTCTGGAGCTCGCGCGTGGCCTGGTTCAGCTGCATCATGGTGTGGCGTGCATGCGGTGCATAAGCATGTATATGTATGCGCGATACGTCATCAACGAAAAGACCAACTCCTATGTCAACCACCTCTTTGGATACTGGGCAGCGACCCGCTAGCCATGTGTAGCTGGTGTCTGTCTCGCCCAGCTGTGCATTCCACTCTGAAACTGTGGGAGAGTAAATGTCAACGAAGTCGCCTGCAGCTAGCGAGTGGCCCATCGTGGTGCCGCTGTGCGGCAAACAATCTGCTGCACCGTCGTGGGCTTCTACGTGCACTGTTGCTTGCCTGAGTGCTTGCTGTAGTAGGTGCACGTTCTCTCGTCGTGCTGTGCGTGCATGATGTTCGTCGAGCGCTCTTCTGTCTGTGCATGCGAATGCGTTTGTGCCGTCATAGTTGCTAATGGTATGGCTCACTTTAGCTTGCCTGCGTCTCCAGCATGCTGCAGACAGACTCAAAATGCATCCTTCCCGTCGCCTCCCTGGGAGCCCCCCGTGTGCAAAGTCGGGTGGGGTCAGTCTCCTGGAGGTCTTCTGGAGCTGTCCGAAGTACGACATGCTAAACGCATCAAAACAGTGAAGGATACGCTGCCCCTGGATCCCGAGCTTGTTGTTGCCCTTGGCCTGGGAAAACGACTGCGATCGAATGGCACTCAGTGGGACTGATCCTACCAAGCGGATCAGTGCAAGTAGGTCGTCGTACCGCCTGCTGAAGTGCTCTGGGTTGTACTTCTGGTCGTGCTCGCTCACGTAACATCGCCTATCAATGCACATGCATAACGCCTCCGATAGCACTCCCCATGCAGGCCCTGCTCGTCGTTTGGGGGCCCGTCGTAGGTATCGTATCTGTCCTGCCCGATCCTGACGAATCTGTTCTCGCAAGTCATCTGCGTGCAAGGTTTCGTAAATGTGCGGCATGAAGGCGCTGTCAGCGATCCACTCCTGCCAATCGATCTTCTCGCATTGCATTCCTCCCATCTGTGGCGGTCGGCTCAGCCCGTTGTCCCTCTGTGATACTGTCATCCCCGTGCGCGGTGCGAACAGGTTGCGCTTCTTCGGTCCACGCCCTGTGTTGGCAAGCGCAACTCTGAGGCGGTGTAGTTCGGTATGTCGGTGATGTTTCCATGCTGTTTTGATCTGGTCCACCAGCTTCTCTGTCTTCTCCGTCTTCTGCCGCCGTCGAAGCACCTGCAACTTCTGTGAGGGGGCCTTGAGCTGCTCTTCTATCTGATCGAACTCGGTGTAGCCATCGCCTATGTAGCTTTTGCTGCCGGTGTGATGCGCGGCAGCTCGGAGCTGGGATCTCTTCTCAAGCAGGTGAATCCGCTGCTGTCGCATCTCGTCGTATCCTATGATGTCCTGTTCTTGCTTGGGAAACGTCTCCTGCATAGCTTCACGAATGTTATTAGAAAGCATGTCCCACCACTTTTGCACGTTGCCTTGGTCCCATGTTTGTCGCCACTCCGTCTCGTCTATCTGCTGGGTCTTCTCCTCAACTTTTTTCAGAAACTCCAGGCGCTTGTAGCCTCGTGTAAATGCGATCATCATCAAGTCGCGGTTGGCAGGTGGCGTGAGCTTGCTGATGTGGGTCTTGGCGATGTGCACGTCCAAATTCATGTACATCGGCACGTGGTCGGTCAGGTGCGTGGAGACGTGTAGCTGCAGTCGTCTTGCCAATCCAAGCAAGGGGTTGATTTGGCGGACCCTGCACAAGGCAGTCGCTGGCAGGGCTACGTGGTCTATCTTGCTTGTGTGGGCGCCTCTGTAGTAGGTGGGCCCCGTCCGTCTAAAGGTGTCCGCGATCGCCATGTGGTTGTCATCCAGGAAGTCCCGCACATGCGAGCTGGTAGTGTTCTCTAGGGCGGGCTCCTCAATACCGATGGACTCGGTGACCTCTATGCATTTTCTTCCTGTCGCATCTCATCGTATTCCAGAGGCGCAGTTGTAGTCGCCCAGTATGATAGGGAGGCAGTTGTGCCCGAGCTTGTCAAGCTCGCCCTGGATCCACTTAAGAATATTCCTGGTGATGCCCTTGTGGGTGTTGACGGCCATGCCCCGCGGTGGAATATAAGCGGGGAACAGCGCCACGTCTATTGTGCCCACGCTTACTGTAATCATGCCAATCCGTCCTGTGATGCCACTCGTCGTAGGAGGCGCTACTACTCTCTGGACCCTGCCACTGAGCCGTTTATTCAGTAGTACTGCCAGTCCACATGAGTTGTTGACTCCAGCCGCCTTTCTCCACCCGAACTGAATGCAGCGGTGATTTGGCAACTGGCACCTCGTGTAGTCATCGTCTCGCGCTGCCCTGCCCGTACCTATGGCAGCGTAGACGTCGATGTTGGCCGTCTGCATCGAGATCTCCTCAAGGCGAGTGTAGTCCGCCCACTGCACGTTGTGGTACACTATCTTCATGCTTCGTTCCTCGGCGGTGAAGCGGGTGTGGCGCAGCACGCAGTATAAGAAGAAACTGGAGAGTAACATAAACTCGGCGGGGCCTCAGTAGCGGACTGCTGAGTGGGATTTCTCTACGCCGCCCTGAGCGGCCCGTCCCGTCGATGCGCCCTGTTTTCCACACGTCAAAGGTCTGCGGCGACTGTGGTTGGGGGTGGGCCGCTCGCGGGTGTCTGGGCCGTGGCGGCGGCTGGAGGAGGAGGAGGAGGGGGGGAGGACACTCCACTCACTGACTAAACCATGGTGGCGGGAGTTTCATCCACAAACGAGAGGCACCGCCGGAGGAGAAGAAGGACGGCACGATCGTCAAGGCCTGGCAGCGGATGCCCACGCAGCTGCTGCACGAGTGGGCCCAGGCACAGAAGCGCCCGAAGCCCTGCTACAACAAGGCCTGGGCGTACGACAAGTCAAAATGCCGCATGAAGGTCATCCTGCCAGACCCGAAGGACTCCTAGGAGAGACCCAGACATGATCGCGTCGTGAAACAATCAGGACGGGAGGTTTTTGACCCATTTCGGCCTCCGGGGGCCCTCGCCGGGCCTCGGGACCGTCAAAAGACGACGCAGGATGGAGCACCGGTCCCAGGGAAAGGGCCCGGTCTTCCAGGGACCCCGTATTGAAAACAATCAGGACGTCGCATGTTTGGGTAGCCCTCCCCTCTTCACCTCCTCGACTAGACGTAAGAGTGACCCTTTGCCGGAGTGGCCTTTGGTGCGCGCCCATTGGGGTCCCCCGATCGCCGCGCTCGTTGCGATGTTAGCGTCTTGGGCGCTTGTGTGTTGGCCTCCTCGCGCCCCCCAAACAGCGGTGCACCAAAGGTCACTCTTACCCAGGGTCACTCTCAAGCAGTGGCGAAGCGTCCAGGCTCGCTTATCGCCCCACCAAACAATGTTCAAAGAGCCTTTTGTGGTTAAGAACATTTCGTGGTAGGACTATAGGAATGCCGGGGCGGTCGGTCCCTGCTCAACACTCTTACGTGCAGCCGACCTCCATGGGCCTCCCCTGGGGGGGAAGGGGAGAAGCGCTCGTCGCCACGGCGCCACGGCCAGAGTCGTCTCGGGGTCCTGGCCAGAGCGCGCCCTTTCGGAGAGGTCCTGAGTGCAGCGGTCTCGCGGTCCTCCCCGGGCATGCCATGTCTAATGCTATTTGCTAGTCGGCTAATTACACGTAAGAGTGACCCTTTGCCGGAGTGACCTTTGGTGCGCGCCCATTGGGGTTCTCCGATCGCCGAGCGCGATGCGATAGCAGCGTCTTGCGTGGTTGTGTTTGGCCCCCCCCGCGGCCCCCCGAAAGCCGCGCACCAAAGGTCAACCTTACGCGGGGTCACTCTTGCGCGTAGCTGACCTAGGGCGTGGCTGGAAGTCTTAGGTCGGGCATGTCCCCCTACAGGCGGACTCTGCAGGAACACGTGCAACATATGCAAAAAAGACACAAGTAGGGCCAAAACACATTCAAGCCATCGTCCCCAGACTTTTGCTTCCCTATTTTTGTATTGTCCTCCTGTAGAGGGACACGCCCGACTCAATGGAAGTCCCGACTCTTTCCCCACAACGGGCTGTCCGTCCCGATTCTTCTTTTGCTTCGGCCCTGGGGCCTGGCGAGGGCCCCCCCCCCAGGAGGCCGAAAAAGCAGCGAGGCACCGCGTGGCTTCTTTTCGACACACCTGCGCTGGATGTCCCTGGGTCCTGTTCCCCGAAGGACCTGGCATCGCTCGGACGTGTGCATGTTTCCTTCGGCGAGGACCATTGAGGAGCATCCTTGATCGTCTGGCGCAAAAAAATCCACGCACGAAACTGACAAAAAAACACAGGGAATAGACGTCCGAGCGATGGCCAGAGGACCCGGCCAAGAACCTGGAGTTCGAGCCGAACCGTGACGCGGACGTCGTCTTCAACGCCAAGGATCGGGGGGCAGGTACCACTGGTCCAGGGTGCCCCCAGCTTTTCGCTTTTTATTTTTGAGCCCCTGGGGCTCTCTGGGCCTCGTGGCCCAGACATGCGACGTCCTGATTTTTTCAGGACGGGGTCCCTGGAAGTCCCGACCTGCCATTCCCCAGGACCGGTTTGTCATCCTGAGTAGTTTTTTGACGGTCCCGAGGCCCGGCGAGGCCTCCCCCGAGGCCGAAGTCGGCCTAAAACTTCCCGTCGTGATTGTTTTGACGACGCGATCATGTCTGGGCCTGGAGTTCCTGGGGGGCACCCTGAACCAGGGGCACTTCTAGTACAGTCCGGGCGCTGAAGGAGGAACCCTTCTCGTTGGGGAGGGGCTCCGTGTTCCTTGATTGTTGGTTCGCTCTCGCCCCGCCGATCAAACAGTTCCTTGATTGTTTCACAGCCTGCCTTAGGTTTTCCTGAGGTTTCCGATGGGACATCGAACTTGAACTGATGGGAAAAAGGGGCCTCGTTCCTTGTTTTTGGGTTCCTTAGGCAGGCCAGCCACAACTGGGGGAGCTGTGGTCCTTACCCCCCTGGGGGACCCATCGACTTCGACACCCCTCCCGAGAGATCGTCGATGCGATGGGTTCCCCCAGGGGGGTAAGGACCCTTGGGTCTTCGAGGGGAAGTCGAACCTTCACTGATGGGAAAAAGGGGCCTCGTTCCTCCTTTTGGGGTTCCTTAGGTCAGCGCCCCGACCTGTGGCACCCGGGCAGGAGGACGCCGCGATGGTGGCGCTGCTGCAGGTGTGCCCCACGCTGCCCCTCGAGCGGAAGCTGCCGGACGGCTACCGGGAGACGTGGCTCGAGGCCCGAGGCCAGAGTTTATCCATGCCCCCCGCCCAGGGTCGAAGTATGGAGAATCACAAATGAATCGCCGATGCCTTGCGTCCGTGGGGGATGACGATCAGTGGAGAGGAAGTGTGTTGCCAGATAGTTTCCACATGTCTAAAACATGTACTAAACATGTAAAATGGCCCCCGCCCAGGGTTGTGGAGGGCGATCGCTGGAGAGGAAGTAGGTTGCCAGATGATTGCCACGTGTCTAAAGCATGTACTGAAGCATGTACTAAACATGTGAAACAGCATGTTTACAACATGTTCAGAACATGTTCCCGATCAATGGAGGACGATCCATGGAGAGGAAGTAGGTTGCCAGATAGTTGCCACATGTCTAAAACATGTACGAAGCATGTTTTAAACATGTGAAACAACATGTTTACTACATTTCCAGAACATTTTCCCTACATTTTAAACACGTGTTAAATTCAAGGATCGGACTGTCAGGGTGTCCAGTGTCGTGGCATCCACAAGCCCAGGGGATCGCTCTTTGGGGACCTCGGCAGGCGGTGGACCCCGACCCCCTCGGGCAAGGAAAGAATCATGGCGGGAGGAGTTTCGCTATTTTCGACCTCGGGGGGCCCTCGCCGGGCCTCGGGACCATCAAAAAGCGACTCGGGATGAAAAACCGGTCCAGGGGAATGGGTCGAGACCTCCAGGGGTCGACGCAATGAAAAAAACACGACGTCGGGGGTCTCGGGATATGGATATCCCTGAAATCCTGGCGCTGCGATGTTTTCACACCGGGCGCTTTGGCTCCATTTCGGGCCCCGGAAGCCTCACATATCGCGTCGGTTCGAGAAATGACGCAGACAGATGGGGCCCGGGGCTCCTGTCGTGGTCCTTCACGATGTTTCAAGGTTTGCCGCGACGTCGGAACTCTGGGATTATTTGGGCCCCAGGGGGGCCGAACCATATCCCCATCCGCCGCCGCCTGAGTCCCAGGACTTCGGTTCGCTGGGCGGCGGGCATGGATAAGCCCCCACCTCGCACGAGGCCGTCGGCGGCGCGGCGGCGTCGTCCGGGAAGGCCGCGAAGGCGAAGGCTGGTCGCGCGCAGACAGGGGCAGGGCAGGGCTCCGATCTTCTCCGGCGATAAGTGTTTTCTTGCTTTCCCGGGCGCTTTTTTCTTTTCCATCCCAGACCCCACAGAGTCATGAGGTCACGTCGGCGTGGTTTCAGTTTTCGCTATTCTCAGCTTCTGGGGGCCCCAACCAGGCCTCGTGGCCGTCCACAAAAACAATTCAGGGTGAAACAGCGGGTCCGGGGGGAAGGGGTCGAGACTTCTGAGAGCCGACGTCATGAGACAGCACGGCGTGGGGGGTCTGGGATCTCGGCCCCTGGGGCCCGTTATCGATGATCCGTGTTTTTGCCATCCGGGCGCCTCTCCTCGATGTTGGCTTCCGGGTCCCTGAAAAGTTTTGTCTTGTTTTTTTTTTTGTTCTGGGGCGGAGCGTTGGCCACTGCATGGGCCTGGACTTCTGGGGCCGCGGATGGAGAAGGGCAAAGGTTCCATCGTCGGATGTCTTCGGGGGGGTGTTTTCTGATTATATGACGGGGGGACAACCATCGGGGGCGGAAAAGAGGGGGTGATGACTAGGGGGGGGGTGATATCATGGCGGGGGCCATGATATTTCCTCAGATTTCATGGCGCCTCTTCTTATTCCATTACGTCCCTGGCCCCCCCGCTGGGCCGCGCACATGCCGCCGGTCATGATTTGCACACACCCCTCTTGGACACCCCCCTCTTGGCCGCTCCCGAAACCAAAAGTTACGGATACCGCTGCTTCCCGGATCTCTCCTGGGGGGCGTCCTGACCAGAATTACAGGGCGCAGCCAGCGGAGGCGACGAGGGCCTCCCAGGAGGCCCAGGAGAAGGCACATGTCTTCCAGAGACTTGAATTCTCGATCATCTCGAGGATGGGCGCACGTTTCATCTAGAGCTAAACTTGATAATCCTTATGTTTATATTTTATATACATGATCTAGCACGCGAACTCGAGAGTACTGGATTGCCAAGACATGCACTCTCGAAAGTCTTGAGATTTCTGGCCTCTGTGTCTGAAGGGTAGCGGTATGTGTGTGCCTTGTCCTCGGCACCGTCCTCCTCTGAGGGGGGGTCGGGGGGGGGGGGGCGGCATGTCGGGAGCCCTCCTGCCCTCCGTGCACGGTCCCTTCCTTGTTGCGTGGGCGCCACGGGGCGCCAGGAAAGCCAGCTGCGCGAGCTGGTTCTCTACCCTGCCAGTTGCTTTATGTCGGGCGTGTCCCCCTACAGGGGGATTTTCGACGAGAAATAAAGAATACCCCAAACATGCATCAATAATGTCCAAACATACTCAAAAACTAGTCCCTGGACTATTTGTTTTTATATCATTTTTTGGGTATTTTTTTTGTCAGTCGAAAATCCCCCTGTAGGGGGACAGGCCCGACATAACCTTTGTTATCCTACCCTCTCGTCGCCCCGGCAAGTAGTCGCAAGGGGGCCGCCACAAAAGAGTACA